AAGCGCTTTGGATATTATTTTACTACGACCAAAGCGAATAACATACAATCACTATCACTATCACTATTTTACTACTATCAATTCAAACAGCAGCAGCAACGGCAGCGTCGGCCGCGCCAACAACAAAACCCATCAAAACAAAATCAAAACAAACGGCTCATGTACTAAACAAACACACACACACGCTTGCATCTCTATATTTCCACATTTCTGTGCACCTTGCCTGTCACACCTCGAGTGGTTTGTGTTACAAAAATTATTTTATATAGATATCTATATAAATATCTTCCACATATATTTCACCAACATTCTGGTGTACATAACTCACACGCGGATCGGAAAGAGAAAGAGCAAAAAAAGGAAAGAAGAAAAAGATATCTGTTTAATATTTAAATTATCAGTGAAAGTAGTAAATCTTTTATTTGTTGTTTGTCTTAACGACATTTAATACGCAAGTGATCTTTTGGTGATTTTTCTTTCCCATTCGCGCATGCATGTGCGCACACCTTTTGGATCTCGCTCTCTCTCTCTCTCTCTCTCTCTCTCTCTCTCTCGGTGTGTATGTGTGTGTAGCGCTGTTTGGTGGACCGCCACACAGATCACAATATATTATACTTCATATTAAAATTGCTCTCAGCCCTCAAAAAATGCTCACGCTTAATCAATAAATTATGGTATGAACGGAACGCAGAATGTGTGTGCCACTTTTTTGTGTCGGCGAAAATAAAATCTCGTACAATGTTTTGTTGTGCGGTAGACGAGTGAGATTTTGTTGTTGCTTTTTCTCTCTCTCTCTCTCTCTCTGAATTATTCATCTGTTTTCTTCTTCGCTTCTCTCCTTTTGGTTTTCGCAAAAACAAACACGAATTGAGAGCAAAAAGTGAGATATTATCAAATCACTTTGGCCGAATTATTTGCGGTACTCAATCCATGGTAGTAACATCAAGAAAATGGTGGCCATTTGGCCGAGATATGCAATCGACAAGTATGTGCAATAGATATGGAATACACGTGAAAAATATTTCATCGTCATTTCAATTGTGACCATGTTCTGGGATGAGTGTACCTGTTTTATTATCATGTCCTTGTGCGAACATACATTTCTTTGAAATTGTATCAATTAGCAAATGTTTGCGAGATTTTGGCCATTTGCAACGGCAATTTATATTTGACCAAATTGAGCGTTAGAAACGATTTGGTTTTTTTTTTTGGTTTTCTTTTTTATGCACAGCCGACAATTGCGATAAAACTTTGCTCATATCATCTGTAGCACACTTATTACACACTCGCAAACTGAATTGCTTGGCATTGCATTCAAATGCCGATATATTATGGTAAACATCCATCATAATTTTTATCAGATGTCGGCATTTTCTGTTCGTTGGTTATGTGTTAAAACAACGGGGCGAAGAGAAAAAAAGAGAGCCAAGAATGCAACGAGCCATAATTTAAATAATTGTTTTAACGAATTTTCGTTTCCCATGAAGAGAGCGCGCGCGAGAGGCGGCTCAATTTAAGCGCATGGCTTATGAAATTGAAAATTCGTTAATATCAGCCGATTTATAAAATTTTGAACAATTTTTTTTAGTTATGCTCAATCTTGGTTTTTCGCATGTACTTGGGTGTGTGTGTGTGTGCGTTTGTTTGTATTTCTTCTTCTTCACTTTGCCGATCCGTTTTTCATCAATTTTTCTTCGTGTAGTTTATAATTTTTTTTCTTCTTCTTCTTCTTCTTCTTTTTATTCCTGCTGAAACATTTTGTGATTTCAGCAATTAAATAAATTCGAAAGTTGTATTTTTCAAGATTAAAGATTCAATAAGCATCATCGACAACATCACAACCACATTCAGATCAAATCGTATGGCCAACACACATGTGTATATGTACACACATATGCCGAACTCAAGAGAGACCATCATGCATATATGAGCAATGGGTCGGAATACCATCGAGATATGCCAAAAAGAGAGTGAGCCGGAGAAAAAGAAGAAGAAGAAAAACTTAAACTGTAAATAAGAAATGAAAAAAAAAAATTTATGAAAGAATGAAAGAAAAAAAAAACAGCACACACAACGCATTGCATTACGTACAACAAAAACAATAAAGGCAATAGCACCAGCAGCAGCGGCGGCGACAACAACAACAACAACAACAGCAACAACAGCAGCAGCAGAGAGAAGTTGTGTTTTGTATAGTGAATGAACGCGCCACAACAACACATGTACAGAATCCGCTTTCAAATCATCATATACGTACGTATAAAATACGTGCACATTTATCTCTATTTAGTATTGACTCCAATGTATTTTGTTGTTTTATTTCGTTTATATATATATATATAATTTTTTTCTCTCTTAATTTTCAACTTATGATCGTGCATAGTCGCTTTTCAGGTGCGGAATGGATTTTTTTTTTCTCTTCACTTCAAGTCAATTGATCAACATGGACAAAATCGTGTGGATTTTTAGAAGCGAGTAAAACACAGAAAAAAAAATAATATCAACGACAACAAAACAACAACATCGGCGACAACGGCGGCTATGGTGACGACCAGCAACAGCACAAACGAAACCGTTTTCTTCTTCGCCTCAACAAATTCCATTCAGAATGAAAGCGCAAGCTACTGAATCGCCTAATCGACGTACGAATGTGTGCGGAAACGCCAAAACAAACTTGGCAACTTGATGGAAGCGAGCGAGCGAGAGAAGAAGAAAAAACAACACGCACACACACCAAAATGTGTAAATGCATACCCAAAATGATTGGATAATAAATATTTTGAATTTATGTTGTTGTTGTTGTTGTTGTTTCCGCCGCTGCTGATACTTTTCTGTCACCCAACGGCAATCGTGGAGTCTGAATTTCGATTTCTTTTTCCACTTAATTATCGGTTCACACAATATTTCGGGGCAATGTTTTTTTTTATTCGCGGCTGATTTTGTTGTTGTTTCATGATTCAAACCGTTACGTTGATTTGTTTTGAATGAAACAGAGAAGAAAAAAATTTGCATTCGCTTTCATTTCGCTGGCTGCGCTCCAAATTCCAATTGGAAATATAACGGTTTCCGACGGATTTGTTCAACCCTGTGCTTGAATTTGAAATTCGTCCTTCTCAATACACGCTGCTGATGTGCTATTGCTGCTGTTGTTGTTGTTGTTGTTTTCTACGAATGTTCGTGCATTTTGACTGCACACTGACACTTAATCGTCGCGTGAAATTCTTATCAGCAGCAGCAGCAGAAGTGTTATAGTAAATAAAACGACGATTTGAGGTTAAGAACAGTGTCAAAATGTACGTAAGACTTGTATTGAGATTTTCCATTTCACTCTCTCTATCTTTTCTCTTTCGGTTTGTTTCTGTCAAATTCTTTGCATAACATCTCGCTAGAATTGCTGTATGTTATGTATAATTGAACGTAAGTGAGCAATGTATTTCACAATTTATGCGCTATTTTCAAATGAAAATCACACAAAACATATCATACAATCACAAATTGTCCAATTTTCCGTTTTTTTCTTTTTTTTCCAATCGCAAAGATGTGCAATTTTATCGTTTTGTTTTTTATAAATAACAAAAAACCACACTTTTTATTATTTGTTTTTATTCGTTGTTTTCGTTCTTGTTTCTCGATTGCATCGTTCTCTCTTTCTCTCATTGGATAGAAAAAAAGTACTCAACGGATTTTTAAGTTCGTCGGTCAATTTTCGTTTGAATACTGTTTTATTTACACCAATTGACATGTATGTATTTATTTATTGAATTCACTTTATCATTTGATATTCGACATTTCTTTTGCTTTCTTCTTATCAATCATCTGATTGTTGAACAAAAAAAAAATTATGTGAAGATGTTCAGCTATTTTGGGAGCAAATTTTTCGCGTTTATTCTGTTTGGTTTTGTTATCCTTCATGTGACACATTTCATTTGGATTCGATGTCGTATTTTTAAATTATGTAATCTCACTTGTTGGCATTTAATGATGTGTGATGAAAATTTGAACAAAAAAAAAAATCATGCAAGCTTCTTAAATGAAGTGAAGACTGTACTTAACACCTGAAATATTTTGCTATAATAGCTTAATGATAAACAAGTGAATCTAATCTCATCATTTATTCCATTCAAGAGCAACTTCGATTTATTGGGTTTATTTTTTAGCCAATCAATCGAAATGTGAATTTTTTCGTTGGAAATTTGTTTTGATTTTTGTTTTTTTTTCTGAGAGATTCGTTTTGTTTTTGTTTTTTTCGTTTTTTTTCTGGGTTTGTGATGTGGAAATATTTACCTGTAACGAGCCAGCTAAATTTCTTGCGAGCGAATTGAATCCGATTTCATGAAAGTGGTTCCGTTTTGTAAGATTGATAGTTCCAGTGGTGGCGTTATTGAAATTCCGAGTTTGTCGATAAATTGTATTTTGATTTTTGTTAACGAGTAACTGATATAATTTATCTTGCACCACACGGGTACATACCCGATTCAAACTTATACACGCCATAGTCAAAAAAAACTGTTGTGATCCGTTCTGACGATAACAATTTACTAGACACACTGAGGAGCACTCCGAAGTGACAAGACCAAAAACACCACCGTCTCTCTATGACCCTACCATTAAACACTTTGTTTTTCCCTACTACCAACTCCGTCGTCGTCCAGCAATATCAGCGGCAAAAACGGCTGAGAGAGCTTTCAGCTATGCCAACGAAAATGCACAAGGGAACCGAACACACACCATGTGTGTGTGTGCACAAGAAGAAAAATAGCGGCGGCCCCGCGATACGGACCGAAGACACGAAAAAAAAACAACAACAACAGTATAGTATACACACAATTTTTTCTCTCTTTTCTTCTTTGTCGTCTTCTCTCCTCTACACCTTCTCTCGTCTTTTCGGCTGGTTACGAGAGCTCTTTTTTCTGTCGATTAGGTATTATACCTCTACTTCTTATGGTTGCATTCTCTCTTTCCCACTATTTTTCCTCTTGCCTTTTTTCTTAAACCTATTCATCGTTGTATTGTCATGTGTTCGGCAACTGATTAAATGTCACTGTCAAATTTCATGCCAAAGAGAAGTGAGCAACAACAACGTTGTCTGTTCTTCTTTTTTTTCTGTTAATGTTCGAGCCCTGTCACGCTCACGCCCATATGATCACGCTGTCAATGCAAACGAAAATACCGTCTGCGGTACATATTGCTAACGAATAATCGACCTGTGCCGAGCCGTTCGGTTCAAAGGAAAAAAGCGAAAACTCGTTTGCAACCACATTTCTGCGAAATCTCTTTTTAACTATTCAATTAAAGAAAATTTTAATTACCATTACATTTAATTGGTCGTGTATGGTTTGAAGTTTAGCGCGCTCTCACACACACACACACACGCACACACCGACCGAGACACAAACACATGCACATACACAAGTGATAAAAATTTGACGTAAACACACATAACCATCGTGTGGCAGTGGAACAGTTTACAGTGGAATTGCAGCCGTAGAAATGTCTTTAGCACTTTTACTCAAAATTAATCGTTTTATTCAACGTATCGAAAATGTGCTGCCGCAAATATTCGGACGAGGCTTTCCTCCAGGTAAATTATTTCGCATTCATGGGTGTTTTGTGCAAATTACAGTCTACAGAATTTGAACAAGTTGTGAACATAACCTCAATGTTGTGAATTGTTCACTGAATTTTTTTTGTGTGTGGATATTTTATCAAATGGTCACATTTTTCTGTCATTCCATAGAACCAATGTGTGTAGTGGCTTGTCCAAATTATATGCCAGCAGTCAATGAGACGCAATCATCAACACCATTTTCGCTGAAGGATTTGATCGGCGATGGAATTTTATGGGCCGTACCAAAACATCGAAAATCAATCGAACGACGGCTGAAGGCAAAATATGGCCATCCAAGATATGTCATGAAGATTTACACACCAAAAACCACTTTGCGCATTTGTGTGCAATGTGGTCATGATCATGAAGTCGGTGTACTGTGTCGTAAGTATTTTCCCAAAACGTACAACAACAAAACAAAACCTGTTGTCACATAGGTAAATATGAGTAATATAATGACGGTCATCATCGTCGTTGTTGTTATTATTCCTCAGCTAACTGCTACAAACGTGTAATGGACGAAACACAACAAATGCAACAGATAATCGAGGAAAAACTCGGCTTGAATCCAGACGACAAAGAGGTTGTTGTATTGTACGATGGCGAAAGAGATAAGGTAAGCATTAATAACACAAAACAATCAGAGAAAATTGCTAATCATTTTATAATGAGAGTTTAAATGATTTGTGTTATTTGCTTGGAAATTTGTAGCCGGCCGAATTTTGGGAAGGAAAACGTGTTGTCGAAATGGAGAAACCACGACCCACTTGGTTTAGTAAGAATTTATTGCAGAAAACCACACAACCGGCGGCTAAAACAACAGAAGTCAAACCAACCAATTTGGGTTAAACCTGCTATTGTCTACATACACACACATTTGTTGAGCGTGTCATTTTAGTTTACCACTTTTCATAGAAATGCGAAGATAACAAAAAATAAAAATTAAAAAAGAGAGAAAGAAAAAGGAACAAATTCATTGAAATTAATTGATTTTATTTGATTTGCCAGTAAACATAATTTTTTTTTTGTTCAAGTTAAATTCTACTAGGCCTAATGAATTTGTTCATGTAAATGTTTGCAAAATAGAATATATAGGTATAGGAAATGAAAACATACACTTTTTTTCGTCATCATCATCATCATCATCATAAAAATACTCAACAACTCAATTCTGTGTAAACGAATGCCGTTCGACTTAAAAACTAAATGGAACAAGACTCGGTAGCTTGCTCGAAAAATTTGGTCCGAACAAAATTTTGATTTTCTTTTCTAGTTCGTTCTAGACTTTTCTGTCGTTCTCTAGTAAATGATCAAAATCACAATTCAATTACGCGAGGGTTCATATCAGAGTTCGTACAAGAAAAAGATTTTACTTGGTGCTGGTCAAAATTGGCCAACCGTATTCGAAACGAATTCAAAGTTCTTCTCAACACTTAAATCCAAATCGGTGTCGTCGATGAAATGTGATTCAACATGGTCTTGGAATAGTTCGAATGACGATACATTTGAATAGACTTTTCCGCACATTGGACACATTTTATCCATGCAATCGGCAATTTTTTTCTGTTGTGTAATATCGACCGCATCACTCTGATTGTCCGGTTTGATTGGGATAAATGCAGCGTTATCACCGATGATTTCCGTAATTTCGGCATCATTCTCCGACGATTGACGACGTCGAAATGTGGCTGGACCATCGATATGCTCTTGATAAAATTCCTGCACTTCATCGGTGCCAAGATTCTTATCGGCCGTATTCGCCTTTTTCATTGACTGATTTTTGCAGTTCAAACACAGCTCCAACACTAAAAAACAAAAACAGACAAAAACAATTAAGAGAAAATCATTAATTGTTGGTCAATTCGCATTTAATGTCTAAATAGTTCAAATGTACCTCTTCTTTGGCGCAGACCGCTCAAAGCCACTTTCAAATCACTTTGTTGCCGCAATAGCTCCTTCTTAATATCCACCATGCTGTCCATACATTTCTTGGTGTCATTCGACAAAATGGTGTTAATGCTTTCGTCGTTCAGGTAACCGAAACCCATTGAATTGGCAACGACACGACTTTGGAATTCGGTATTTGTGTGCGGTGCATTTGGATCGCCCTGTACATTCGGTTGATCTGTATAGTCTTTCAATGAAATCTCTTCCAAGCTAACGTCTTCCATTTCTTTGCCATTGTCGTGTGTACTGGTGCCGTCTTGCATCTGCATTTTTTGCCGTAGAATCGGGTTCGGTGAGTTTTGTGTGAATGTCTTGGACCGGATCAAATTCTGGTGGCCAGCCGTAGTTTCGGTTAATGTGGTTTTGATTTTATTCAACGAAACACCCAACGATTGATTGTCTTTGGTGAGTTTCGATAGGCGCAACCATAATTGTCGATTCTCCATCGCTACCATTCCAATGTGTTCAGTCAATTGATACTTTTGTCGCGTCAATTCACCCACTTGTTCGCGTAACACTTCAATTTCGCTGCGATCGTCCATATTGTTGCCACGGAGATTCGGTTGATCCTGTCCACATTGTTTGCGTAATGTGGAATTCTCCTGTTCGACGGTAGTTAGACGCTGCTGTAGTGCCAAACATCGTTCCTTCATCGTTTGCAACGCAACATGCAATGCATAGTGTGATGCAAGTTGCTCTTTCGTCTGAACTGTGTCACTTTTATTCGAATCCATGATGCTCTCTCTGTCGTTTGATAATTTTGTTCCCAGTTCGTCTTACGGTGGCTATCAATAAAAAGTAACTATCTGCTAACACAAGCCAACAAAACAATCAAAAAGATCTTGGGATTTTGGCGATGCAACAATCGCACAGACTAAATGCAAAATCGTATTTATTCTGTATTGTCTCTTTCTTTCTCTCTCGGTCGACAATGTACAATTCCCTTCAACTTCAACATCTACTATCAATTAGTTACCGTTTCTAAATGTAATCGGTGACACAATTTGTAAACAATGCCACCATATCGGTTGAGCGTGCCGTTGATTTCGTTTTATTTTTGGTTAGAAAAAGAAAAATAATAACAAATTATCTATTTATGTGTAATTCGAAATCGTCAAACAATTTTAAAAACTCTCTGTGTTGACACTTCACGGTGCATTTGTTCGAAATGGATTACATTCACATTCTGTGTCTCACACACCAACATACATGGACACGACAGGCGTTACTGTGTGCGTGTCCAAACACGAATGACGTCTTTTCTTTTGTGTAATGCGAGTTTTGTACAGATGGTGCTGTTGCTGTTTGTGTGTGTTTTGAACAATTTGATGAAATTCGAAAATCGCAACTCATTCAATATTAGACACTGTTTATTATCTGTGTGCCATTTTTATCGAGCAAACTTTATCTGTTGATTCTGTAATCTGCACGTTTCTCTTCATTCAGATGGGCACATGTATCATAACCGTGCAAGAAAGCGAACAGCAGAACAATGACACCATTGAATGTTTGTTTATTCATTTAAATTATGAATGTGTATGCCTCCTATCTTGTGATTATGAAAGGAGTTCACTCAGAATTACGGCCCAAAATCGATACAATCTAAACAAAATGCCTTCAAACAAACAATATAAAACCACCCGAAACTCCTATATCATTCTATTGATGAACATGAAATCAATCAGAATAAACATTTCCAACTTCGAATATGGAAAAAATGACGATGAAATAGAATGAACATGAAACGAAGTGAAAAAAAAAACCGTTTCCATGCTATGGAGTTACCTGCTTATTGACTACTGTTGTTTGTGAAGCGGAAACAGAAAAAAAAAAAAACCTTTTACCTACATTTCGAAAGGGATCCCTGAGTTAAAATGGCACGAATGAATCACGCCAACTCATTTAAAATTTCGGTTTTGATGGTTGCATTCCATCACCCATCACCGGTTACATACTTGTGCAATGGAAACATTGAAGGAAAAAAAAAACAACTGAAAACTGGAATTGTATTGGAATGCGATTTTGTGTTTCTTCGTGGACACATCACTTGTTTATAACAAGTAAATACTTACAAAAAAAATTTCCTCTGCACTTTCGCTTATGTGCTGCGATGTAATTCCTTTCTCTCTCTCTCTCTCTCTCTCTCCCTCTCTCTCTCTCGCATTTGTTTTTTTGTCGTTGTTTACACAATGCAATGTTTTCAGAGGAGTAGTCAGTACCAGGTACGGTGTTCTTATGTTGGAATTTCTGATTAGTTTTGATAACACATGCTTTCAGTTGAGTAGAACAAAGCCATTCGAACGGAAGTTGTGACAACAGTTGGTGTGTGTCGAACGGGTTCTATAGCCGTGAGCAATTAGCATCTTAACATCGGAAATTATTTTTGACTCAATCGAAAATTCGAACGTTTTGCAATTTATCCATATGGGATAGTTTATGTGGCAAATTGCCGCTGCCAATTAATTTAAAGTTTTGTGTTGGTTTTCATTGAGCGGAAGTTTTGGTGTAATTTATCTATTGAAGGTTGTACTGGATTTTCGTTGGTGTAACTGATAATAATCTAGATGATGTAAGGTTATGGCAAAATTGTGTCATGACCAGTACGATCACCCGTTGCTATGGTGCGATGCCAAACGACGAGCCGAAGAGAAACGCATCGCTGACGAAAGTTGGACATTGGCCCGACATCGCAAAGAACAAAAAGAAGCACAGAAAATTCGCGATTGTAATGAAGTGAGCGATGTTCAGACGAATTGAATGAAACAGTAACAAAGAAAAACTAAAATTTCCCAATTCATCCCAATCATTCATCATCTTTTTATTTGATTGCATGCGACAAAATAAAAATTTATCGAAAACATTACGAAAACAGACTCAGAAATTCATGTTTATGTGCATGTTCATGTGAAGCAACAACACTCAGTATGGTTTCAATGATGATTCATTAATGGTAGCTATAAATGTTCATTAATTCCATGCTTTATTCGAATTGAGGTGTAAAAAGATGGTGTCAATTGAATCAGCGGATAAATGATCTCGTGTTCATAAAACACGTGTCTTTTATACGTTAACTTTTACAACACTGCTCACGAGTGAGCACATTTACTTCAGATCAATTAAAAAAATGGCATAGAATCTAACGGAAAATCCGTAATTTCTTCGTCACAATTGAAATTTTCCTCTTTTTCCACCTTCAGTTGACTAAAGCACCATTCATAATGCAAACAACTAGAATTATGTTGATTCTAGTTTTTATCTTTGTGTGTCGTCATTCAACATAATTAATTCACTTTTCGATTGGCATTCATTCACCCACTTTTTTTTCATTTTACGTTCATGGTATCTTGACAACGGTATTTAAACAAATCAACTCAATTTATTCGTAATATTCATTTGAACATCAAGTCATTGAATGGAATTATTTTTCAAAAATAGAACGAAGAGTTGACTCGTATACAGATACTTGTAACAATAAATTGGTATTTATATTTGAACAATGACAACAACAGTAAAATTTAATGCGATTGAATTATAAATTAGATTTTCAATAGAACGGCAAGCATTTACCGTAAAGCCGAAAGCCGAAAGCCCAAAGCGTAAGCTTATTTACTTGTACCGAATAACAAACAAAAAAATCATGTTTGCGTGCTAATAGGCGCTTTTTTCCCTGGTTGACTTCGTACAATTAGTTTTTGCCATTCAATTTATTCTGTTGCTATGCAATGTGCTTATTCTAATCGAAATTTAGTTTATTTTTTTCCTGGAAAGTTTTCAACGTATTTGAAATACGAAAAAAAACGAATATTTATTCGTCTATTGAGCAAAGCAAATATAACGACTTTGAAAAGTTTACTACATTCTTTTTCTCTCTTCTTTTTCATCCGTTGGATTAACATTCTTCGCATTTGTGTCGCTGTTAGCTACGTGAACTTATAGAAAAGCATTATCCTTGGGGAAGGCCAGGTACATAGAAGGTTTCCATGTAAAAATGAAAATTTACCCCAAGTGTATTATGTCAATAAAACGTATTTTCATTCTGTTGCGTTCTATTTGTTTGCTTTTGACCGTGTGACTTGGTGAAGGTGGTGGCGCTCCAAACGGAACCATTCGACGAAACAATATCGAATCTCGTGGCTTATTCGCAGAATCAAGTGAGGTGAGTTACAAGAATTTTGGTTGTGCTTTTTTTCATGGCTTTCGGTTGACATTTTAATTTCAAATTAAATGACATAGTAACGGTGAATGCTGAAAATCAATATTCGTGTTATTTAGTACAATGTATGAGAGATAGAAACTAACCGGTGAAATTGAAAGATATTGATCATGTGCATGTATCGGAGTTTCTTTTATCGCTTCTCTAAATTTATTCATAAATAAAGTTTTAGTTTCGGTCTTGAAAAAAAGTTTTGGTTCTTCAAACATATGCAATTGTATTTGAATTTTTCTAGAACTGTCGAAAATTCATATTTCAAGCACCATTTCGTGCTCGAAGAGGCGGTGGCGGAGCACCTCTTCGCAATTCAGCTGGTCAAATAATTACCAAATTTCGAGAAGATCCAATCATTACATTCAGCGATTCGGCGAGAAAACATGTTGAAAATCATTTGAGGTATAAAACTAGCAACGAACAGAAGAAACAATACAAAATGGATTTGGACCGATGTCGAGCCGAACGAATGAGGAGAGATGCAAAAAACTCCTTGGATATGGTTTGTTTTAAAAACACATTTCAAATTGAATTGTTTAGCATAATCAACCGATTTATATCTCTGCAACAGAATGAAGTGTGGGGTAAGTCGGGTCCGGGTGGAATGCCATGGCGACATCCACGTCAAGTTGGTCAATCATTCATGAAATCGATGGGTTGGACGGACAAAATCTTGTTACAAACGCTTGATCCCGATAAAAAACCAAAGGCAAATGGAATTGATGCCAGTGATGTGAATCGATTAAAATTACCCGCACAATGTTGTGTCAATTGTTTTTGTGATTGTAAAACCAAATATGCGACGATGCAATGCAACGGCAAAGAGAATGTGATGGAAAATATTCCGATGACCCGAAAAGATAATCCGGAAAATGCAAGTCGACCATTGTGCGAGCATATGAATCGTTGTGCTAAGAAGTGTAAATACGTTAAACCACGAGCGTGCATGATAAGCGGCGGTGTTGAATTAGTTCCTTTGTTGGCTAAGCGTAGAGCAATGCAACGACCAATCAGCTTGTCCACCACTGACGTGACGAAAAACCCGACTGAAAAAAAGTTCGATTAGAAAACAAAATTCATTGAACTAGCATGGCCAGGCACACGAAACTCATTCCACGTGTTTCTCTCTCTCTCTCTCTCGCTCTCTCTCTATCGCTTTTAGGTGGCAGGATTACGGTGAAGGGGTTCAATTACTCGACGACTTGTGCCGACAAATAACGCAAAAGGAACGAAAGAAACAAGTAATCAACGAATTTATTAGCCAATTCATATTCAATCAAACATTTACATTTTTTTCCGTCTTTTTTGTCGTCGACGATGTTGTTGTTGTTGTTGTTGTTGCGTTGTTATTATTTATTGCTAAAGCTGTCGAAGGATAGTGAATTGGAATCAGCCAGAAGACATTTCGAAACGATAGACACATTTTGGGGACGACCTGGTATACATTTCTCAAAGAATTATTTATTATGTTACTCGAAATTTTCGATCGACTTTTTGAATTCGGTTGTCGTTTTTTAGGTCATGGTGCACCACGTAGCGTTAAAACCAACCATCACTCCAAACTCAATTTGAACGATTTACTTTATAAACCACGGTTAAGTGAACACGTATCGAATACAATCGGAAAATGAGGATATAAGGACTTTTTCAGCTTGCCACCGATGCAAGCCTTGATAAAAGTTGTACAATCATTTGTGAAGCGTTCTGTAAAAATCCAAAGCCAAAGTAATTTAATGAAATAGATATTATGGAAAAATTTATATTTCCTTGGTGTTTTTCGTTCCAAAAATAAATTTTTTTTTCTGACTTTTTGATCATTTTGGTTCGGAATTTACACTTTCAAATTCATTTTAAAATGAAATTTAAATTTCTGGTACACAATTCCAAAGTGAAGAAGTATTAAGGTAAAAGTCTCTATATTCTTACCGTCTTCAATCATTTTCCGCCCTAAAACATCTGAATTCTTCAAAAATAAGAAAAATAAGAGAAAAAAACGCATGCTTTTAAATGATTTGACGTTATATTTTATTACATTATACGTTCAAGTTCATAGAAAATAATACGAATTTACAAAGTTAATTCGTTATGCATATCCTACGTTCAGCATTAAACATAAATGTTATTATTTATCGATTAAAAGTTGCAAATGTACAAATGAATAAAAAAAATATTGCTCTTCAACGGGCTCCTCCATTCAGACGACAAAATCGTTCCGAATGAAGTGATCGTCGTTGCTCGGGGAAGAAATTATTTCGTAAAAATTATTTTGATTATTTTTTTCTGATAAAACAACAAAGAAGAAGAGAAAAAAAAATGCATTAGAATTTGCAAATTTGGCACTTGTATTATCGAACTGACGTATATTTTTCTTTTAAATTTATTATATATTTATAATGGATCTATCGATGCTATAATTGTTGGGCATTTTACATGTAAGTATTATGTTACGACTGCGAATGACCGCATCTGGCTACTAAATCTAAATCTAGTAATTAAAATAATTCGCCGTGAGATGCAGCTATTTTTATTCTCCAGATTTCCGATTGCAATTTCAACAAAATAAAAAAGAACAGAAAAACGCCTCACTTTTTTCTCTGTATTATGTAAACTTGTATTATATATTTTTACTATTCGATTACTAGCTACGCTATAAAAATGTATTTGCGTAATAAACAGTTGTTGTTTTTTGTTTCTTCGATTCGAATTGGGATTCTACAATTTCCAGCCGTCTCAATGCGATCAGCGTGAAATTTGTCGATTTGGATTCAAGACTATAAAAAGGCTACTTATAAAAAAGGGTTTCTATTGCCGTCCATTTGAAAGGCTATTATATAGTTCCTGTTTACTGAATGTGTGTCTCTCTCTCTCTGTGTGTGTGTGTGTTGGTGTGATTAAACTAAAAATGATGAATAAAATCGAACCGTATGGAAATAATTTAAGGAAGGATTCAAATGCGGTGACGAACGAAAAAAAAACGAACGATTAAAAAAGGCCATAAAATTTAAACCATTCCATAGTCTGTACAAATTGCTTGTGGTTGGGCTGTGGTTGTTGCTGATACGTTGTTCTGCTGTTTCTCTTGCGCCATATTCAATTCGACTAATGTATCGATGCTGTTGATGCTGACACCTTTTAGAATTTTCTGCGCAGCCAGAGAAGTGAAATTGAAACTCAGATCGGAAAGACTTGGGAAATTGTAGAGTTCATCGCGATCGTTGATGCTATTCTCGCGTGATACACTGAATCGACGGTCGACCGGTTCTTTTTCCACCGATTTGTCACCGTTGTTGATCTTCTGTTTGCCATCGCCGTTGCTATTTATGGCCAAATTCGAGATGTTCGGTTCGCTGCCAATGGAAATCATATTTTTGGATAAAATTTGCGCAATTGAATCGGTATTTATAGCCGGGTTTGAGTTTAATTTTGTTATGTTACCGCAAACCGGTTCGTATGGTGACATTTTCAAATCGCAATTTGAATTTATGATTTTTTTCTTTTCGATGAATCGAAGATTGCCAACCGATCCGGCAATTGTGTTCCGTTCCAAATTGATGGTTTCGATTTTCTCCACCACCATTTCGTCCAAAGTGAAAACATTTTTATTGTTTAGCGGTGACGTTGGGCTAATATCGTTGACATTTTTCAACACATTTTTATAGACAATATTGTTTGTATTCGATATGGGCAGTGAGAATTTCCGGCCATTATTCATGGTGGCATCATTGTTGACGTTCTTGGTGAATTTACAATTCTCAATTGAATCCGATGTAAATGGTTCGGGTGTTGGTGTTGGCATAGTGCTCATACTGGATTCGGGCGATGTTTCGCTGATGAACGAAAGTGAATCGCATGTTTCGGACGCCATATCATTTTCGCTCAGTAAAAGTTCATTCTCTTTGTCTCGTTTGGATGCGGCACGCATTTTAGCCGGTGAACTCTGTTTCGATATGGAACGTTTGATGATTTCCCCGTTGCCATTGGTTGTCGTTTCATTATTTATTATGTAAACATTCGAATTGTCCAGAAGTTTGCCATTTTCAAGTGTGATGACACTTCGCACAGGTGAATTTTGTACAAAAATCTTTGTGTTCGGAATTTGACTTTCATTCGATGTGGTAACCTGAAGCGTGATTGAACTGTTTGAATTGGAGTTTGGTATGCCGATTGGTGGTTTACCAAGAACTGGCATCGATGGATCGTCCGATCGATTCAACGATGATGGCCCGTTGCTGGTTGATGTTGCCGTCGATTTCATGCGTGAATTGGAGTCCATGGTCAATTTTGATTTGCCCAGTTGATGTTTTGGTGAAGATTTCGGCGAACAATTGCCATTGCCATATGTTAAACGACTTCCATTTTTATTCGTTGCAATCGTACTAATCGACGGATGTGAGTCGAGGCTATAATGACCGCTAGTACGACTATATGACACTTTTTCATCTTCGATGCTTGATAATCCAGACAAAATGGACGCCTTACCCGATTCATAGCTCGATGGACCGCTGTTGATTGAACGATAATGCCGATCGTTTGATAGTCGATTATCAAGTGTGCTGGTTTTCTTGGGACTTCGATAGATTTCACCACTTTTGGCTGTAATACGATTCTGTTCGTTAATTAAATGCTTGCTTGGAATAGTACGTTGGACTTTCGTTTGCATTGAAGCGGCGGGTATTGAATGTGTGGATCGTGGAAGACTTCCGCTGCAATAAACTGGTGAACGGCGTCGAATCGGTGAACAATCTCGCGATGAAATGACAAACGTTGATTCACTGGACATGTGACGACGATGCCGTCGAGGAAGTGTAGACGATCGATGCCGTAGCTCAGTACCATCGTAGAATGTTGACTTGGAAAGAGTATGAACATCAGGCGTATCCTGGAAATTAAACAATGAAAAAGATAACATTAGATTTATCTCTGTCCGACAGGAGGTTCGAATGAATCTAGAACATACATCTTCCGATTTCATATTGTCTTCATTTCTTACCAAATCGCTGGTCTGTGTGCCAACACTGTGCAAATGTACGGCCTTCGAATTGAACCATTCAGCTGGAGGAAATTGAGCGGAATAGGTTTCGATTTGACGTTGCTTCGATCGGCCACTTCGCCGGAACAGCCGTGATAATAAAGATGCTTTTTCTGAAAGCCAAAACCAAATCAGTTAAGCTCTTTCCTCTTTGTCGAGAAAAACTCAACTCAAGTAGTGAAAAAAAAGTAGATTACTTGGTGACGATGAGTCGGTGCTTTGATATTCCGAGCTGCTGCTGTCGGTGCCACAGTTGGCCAGTGTTTGGGCATAGTTTTTCGAAAGGCTTCTTGTTGATGCACATCGCTGTAATCGCTTCGATGAACCAAACAATCTCAGACTATGGCGACGATCTAGACTTCGTGGCGTGGGAAACGATGCACTCCTTCGTTTCGATGTTCGTGCATAAATGACTTTGTCATTGGGATTACCTATTTAACGAAAATTGCCGGAATAATTTTAATGATACTAATCATCAACATGAACAATCTTAATGCAAGGCATACCTCCGCAAATGACATCAGCCAGGTTTGTTTGAATGCACTGATGCGTTAAATCGCCGTCACGTTCAGTTGAAATCTCACCGTATAAATTGTGAACGGCCTCTGCGTTTGTCATCAAAATGGTTCTGGCATCGGTTGGTTCCATTGATTCCTCAAAGTTATCGGGGAAACCACGTTGACTGCGTGGTCTTGATCTGCTTCGCCTTCTCCTGTAATCCATTTATCGATTCATTGTAGAATTCAATTTTATATCAATTTTAATGTGGAAATCTTTTTGTACAGTAGAAATTCAATCGTGTCATATATGACGAAAATACGTACTCTGGTGTCACTATAAAGTATCCTTTAGCTGTTTGATAGATCTTTTTCTCTTGCATCAATTGGGCTAGACTGTCGTAAATCATTTCATTGCTTGGCTGTTGCATATGTGGAAACCTGTTTCAAACGAAACGAACAAAGACAGTGTTAAGGGAAAAAGTTGAACAAACACCGTCAAATGGAGAGAAAGAGAGAGAGAGAAAATATCATTTGTTGAAGATTAAAGCTTACCGCACTGATAATTTAACGCGTATATTTTCAATTGTGGCAGACTGTCCTTGTGATGTCAAATCCATGATGACGTCGCAAAGAGCCTCCGGCAATGGTGTGAATTGTCCTTGTACTGTCGGTGTTACGATGCAATCATCGATATCACCTGAAAAGAATCAGAACAAATTGCATCGATCCATTAATCGTTGTTTTTCTACTCTTTTTTTTTACTAAATTCTAATTAATTTCGGCGGATTTATTTTGCATTTTTACTTAAAATTATCTATAAACTACTTGTCGATAACAAGCAATTCAACGTAGCTGGCGGCATTTGTAATGGCGGTCAAGAAAGAAAAACACGAAAATCCGCTGAAAATGTTTATGACAAAAACTAAATCAATAAACGGTTAATTGGCACACGCGCACATTACATCCAAATTGGCAACATGGCCACCTTGAACGCACGATCATTTACACTTTACGAAACATGATCGTGATTTTTACCACACACACACACACATCAACGAAGCGAAGCAACAACAACTCACGCGGCACATGTGTGTGCTCTTTGCATGTGAAATTCCTCGTTCGAAGGCGTGTGAACATTTTTCTTCTACTCTGTTATAAATGAAATTTTGCCGAAGTTATGCAATGTGGCTTAAGTTCAATAGAAGCACGATGAAAAACAATCAACGGCTACCGTTTGCGCCAAATAGTGTGAAATTATCTATCCCGAAGATCAAATACCGATTTTCGAATGGAAAATGATACAGCGCGTCTTGGTTATCATTGGCTCATGTATAGCTGACTGGATGGCTGACTCTTGTCAACCAACACAAAATGACACATTGAATCATCAAATGATTTATTACATCAAATCACTGTGAAAAGGCTCTTTTACATGATCACAAATTATCCACTTAACCGATTGTGGTAATTGATTTGTAAAGCATTGCTTCTTTCTTCTCCATCATCTTCTTCCTCTTCAGTCATTCCTTCAACGAAACGATAAAGCAAAATCTTTTTTAACGCCAACTGGAAAGTCAATGAGGAAGAAAACGAAAAAAAAGTGTGCTTATGTGCTCCATCTTGGAAATTCAAGATGATCTAAAATTGGATTCAAGGCACCGTTTAAGTGGTTTCATTTTGACTGAAATGCTAATTATTTGCACGAGACATGCTTAATTTATTGTCCAGACATAACATAAATATGCCGAGTGTGATTGGCTTGATTCGTCTGCAAAGAGCCCGGCTGCTACCTGATTTCATGTCATTTTTCTTGCGATGGACAACTTTCTGTAAACGGCACTCTATCGTGCTCGAACTTTGAATTTGCATGAAGCTGAAAACTACACACATATATGTGTGTGTGTTCGATGATATGTGCGCACCCCATAAGCACAGCACATATTCGATGCTCGTCGTCGCGAAACAACAAATACATTGGTAGCCACACTATTATTTTTCTTCTTCGTCGTAGACGTTTGTTTTTCTCTTTCTTTCTCTATGTGTATTAAAGTGTAATTACATATGTGAGTATCGTTTAGAAATTAAGTATGTAATTTTATATAATTTGTTGGTATTTTTCTGGTATTTTGCATACATAAGTGGTTCTGTATTTCTGTTTACCTTTTAACAGTATTTCCTAAATGCGGTCTCGTTTTTCAACAAATATATCGTATTTACTCACTGTTCACAATGGCTCAAAAACAAATGGAAGACCGAAGAAATGGAATTTCAGTATCATTTTACAAATCTCGTAGCACTTTCGCTCTATACCGGGCGTTAGGTAGCATGCATACGCTTCGTTTCAAATTAAACTGATTTGAGACAGATAAAAAGCGATTAATTGCAATTTATGGAATCGAGTTGTTGCCAGCAACTTGCTGCACGTTGTGTGTGTGTAAAGGAGAAGCACCTAATGTTGATAAAATACTGTTTGATGGGCTTTTTGTTGTATTAAAAGAAAACTTCTAAAAACCTTTGAAGAAAAGTGCTAAATAACAATTCAAACGATAAACATAAGAATAGTTTTACAAGAAGCTCTTCACATTCGAATTCTCTTGCACTCACATGCGAACTGATTATCAGAAAAAAAATGTTCACCTCTAGAGTTCTAATGCTTTACGTAACATCCCATCAAACTAAATGAATAGTTTCAATGCGAAAACACAACCGAAGCGTACCATCATATTTTTTCTGCTCGTTTCGTTTGTGTAAAATCTGCAATTTTTTTTATTATGTCGTGGACAAAACGTCTGATATCAATCAGTTATATACACGGACATGGTCTTCTTTCAACTGTGTAACCATCTTACAAAATGTCATTTTGGCGACGAGCTCTTTTGTGTACTCCAGCTGAAATGTAATCGCGCTGAATGAGTGATTAATCATATTTCGCTGAAGTACATCGATCGTTGTGCAAATTTCATCAAAATATCCCATTCAATGGCCTAATTGGAGCCGCGAAATGTACAGCCAATGTACACGCGCGTCGTTGAAATATGAAACATGTGTATGTATAAAATAAATGGTCGCGTAACAATGTTTTTTGGTCGCCTAATTCGCACATTATTCTTGGGAAACTATCATTTCGGAAACCAGGCACGCTTTGACTTTTACTGTCGAAATATGATTAGTTACATAAGTGTTTCTCTCTCTGTGTGTGTATGTGAACATATCAGATCGCCCGTTGTTGTTGTTGTTGTTGTTGTTGTTGTTGTTGTTGTTGTTGTTGTGGAAAAACTGGAGCAAACATAATCCCCAAATGACGTCTTTAGTCTATTTCGCTTGTCGCGACCAAGATTAATTGAATAATGTAAATGAGCAGCTTTCGTTCGATTGTATTAGTTGCAAGAGAGCGAGAGCGAGTGCGAGAGAGAAAGAGAGAGAGGAAAAAATGACACGTGTTTGAAAGTGTGTGTGTGTGTGTGTGGCGCCATTTCCTTTTTAGCCACCGATTGGCTTATGATGTTTACATTTTTCCTCGGCTCAAAATTGTTGTATTCTAATCGATACGATTTCATACTTTCTTTTCAATGGGCGGACTGGATGTGTATTTCATAAACGTCAAAATTATCGCATGATCTTCAATTAGTTAATTCCAATCAATCGAAAGTAATTGACCGAGCAATAATAACGAATAAAATGGTCATTTTTTTCGGTGGAATTTATTCATTCGGGTTTGCGTGTCAACAGTCAATAAATATTTATTGAAAAACAAAAAAACGACATAGAAGAATAGTATATCGTCGCCGCTCAAGACAATGGTGAAACGATAATAATTTCAGTGAAATTGTTATGCTTCACATTATTCATTTCGTTTTTGATGTTCAAATGGAAAAATACGATGAAAAACGGTGAATTTTACATGGATTGGATGTGGGTTATGCAATTCAAACGCAAAGAAAGTGCATTGGACCCATTCATTGATGATTGAGTACATTACAAATGTATTTATAATAAGGAAAGGTAGATACACATTAATTTTCATCTCAAAATAGTGGCTAAATAATATGCAGGTGATTATGCGCATGTGACACTAGCATTTCGAATGTCGACGCAAATTCAAAGTATTTCGTCTGGTGAGCAACCGAATCATTTATCGTATCGCATTACACTCAATTGGATTTGTGTTTTTACTTTCATTTTTGTCTCCGTATGGGTGTGTTTGCGCTCGCAAAAGATGACGAATGTGAGGATATTCTTCACATTGTAATGGCTACGACCAAGAGAAATGAAATGTTATCTAAACAATTTCACTATTGATTCAAGAATTTAAAACATAAACATAAGCCATTGACTGTAATCACATGAGATATTTAGCAGTGATTAATTATTAAGCTGACTCTTCACGCCATTTCTCTCTCTCTCTCTCAATTCGAATTGGTCAGCCCGGTTGTGTTTACCGAGCTGTATGGTAGTTTCACTTTGTTAAATTCACTTCCGATTGGAGCAATACTTTTGGTTTCTACGAGAAAAAAAAGTGGCAGAAAAACGCAAAACATCAATCTGGTCATTTTTCACTAAAAAAGAAACTAGAACTTGTTAGCGAATGGAATTTTGTGTGTAAAGAATCAGGCAAAATTGAGCTTCTGTCCCAGAGGCAATGAGAGCGTGCATTTTCGCCGCTTCGAGGCTTAGATAGCATAGTTTGTTGTTTATGCACATCGCGATTGGATGGAATGTCTTCGCTTTCAGCCATTTAATTTATGCAGTTATCTAAATCGGGCGACTTGACTTTATCGATGCATTTATGCTGCAAATTGGCGATCACTTGACGCGCATGTACAGTGTGCTTACCGTGCATGTCATTGCCTCTTTTTTCTCTATCTCTCTCTCTCTCTCAGTGGCTGACTCTGCCGTTAAAACTCGATTCTTTTAAACGATCGCATTAGTTGGTTGTAACGTGAATAAATTATAGCTCTGATATGGAATTAGCTATTCACACGGCTCGATTTGGTTTGATTGCTCGGAGCGCACGCGCGCATGAGTGTCATTTGTGCGCACTTGGAAATCAAATTCAAAGAATTTTGTTTACTACACACAAATAATACCAAATCCAAATAAATGGGACACTTTTTTCTCTGATTCTCCATCTCTCTTCATCTTCACTTCATTTTGTTTATTAAGCGGTAACACGAAAATTAGCTAATCGATTCATTTAAGAATTGACAACGGCAGAGAAATATGTGTTTTGTACGTGAAGAGATGCAAGCACAAACCATCAAAAGCTTTTATTTCGATTTGTTCGTGGCGTTCCTTCGCAAACGTAATCTTCATTGAAATTTCTATCATCGCAAAAACACAAAAAGTGACTTAAGTGAAAATAATAAAAACTGATTATGGACCGTTGGGTCGCTCACAACTCTGACCTATCTGGCAGTACATTCTTTTTTGCTGTTTCTGTTTGCCGTTGACTCTCTTCTCTTGACTCAGTCTTCATTTTAATTTTAACCTTTCAGTTTTTCTTGAGCCGCATATGTGCAAAACGGTTTTGCGCCGTTCCACGACAACGACGACGGCCGACCGACGATGCTTTCGAACAGAGATGCGCGTTACGAAATCGCGAAATGTCGGCCAGGGCTTGAGTAACAAAGTGGCGTTTCAATTTTTTTTTATATTCATTCCGTTGTAAAGCCATGATTCGTATTATAATAATATATC